TATATTTGAGATTTATATCTTGTAATTTAATTGAGGACTGTAGTGAATGATTGAGTCCCGGCGAGAGCCGGGCAGGCGGCCCGCCGAACCCTTTGGTTCGCCTTAGGGGGAGGTGGGGCCGTCACATAAAAGCCTTCTGTGCTTCATTACTCCAATAGAAATTGTCCTTCTTAAGCAGCTCAGTAAGGGGTTTACAGATGATTCCATAATGCTTGATAAACCTCCTGTGGTAACCAGTTAACCCCAGAAAACCTCTCAACTCTTTAATTGTACTAGGAACAGGCCAGTTCATGATGCTTTCAACCTTGGACTGATCCATGGACACTCCATTCTCAGATATGGTGTGACCAAGATAGTCCACAGTTTGTTGTGCAAATAAGCATTTAGATCTCTTAGCAAATAGTTTGTGTTCCTTTAAGACGACTAGCACTGTTCTCAAATGATCTAGGCGTAATTCTAACGTGGGGCTGTATATTAAGATGTCATCAAAGAAAACCAACACGAACTTACTTAAGTAAGGTTGAAATACTTGATTCGTAAGAGCCTGAAAGGTTGCTGGTGCGTTGGTCAGCCCAAAGGGTATTACTAGAAATTCATAATGGCCACAATGAGTTTGGAAAGCAGTTTTGTAAGTATCCTTGGGTTTGACTCTGATGTAATAATAGCCAGAAGCGAGATCCAGTTTGGTTTTGTACCATGATCCTGCCAATTCATTGATCAGCTCATCTACATTTGGAATAGGATATCGATCTTTGATGGTCATCTCATTCAGACGCCTGTAATCCACACAAAAGCACCATGTACCTACCTTCTTTTTAACCAACAGAACTAGTGAGGCAAAAGGACTGTTGCTGTGGATGATTATTCCATGCTGTAACATGTCTGTAACCTGCTTTTCTATTTCACCCTTCTGGGAGTGAGGATATCTGTATGGCTTCATTTTAAAAGCCCGAGACCCCTGTTTTAAAGGAATTTCATGATCTATTTCCCTGGTAGGAGGAAGCTCAGAAGGAGCCTCAAAAACATCAGCAAATTCCTCAATGATGCCTTGAACCTCAATAGGCATATCCCTCTTCTCTAATTGATTATCCTGTCCCATCCTCATAGCCAGGCACATCTGCTTCTTATATTCAATAAAGTTCCTCATATCACTCCCTCTAATAAGATCCAAGTCACAGTTCTTAGCTTGTCTCGTTAACTGTACCACTTCCCCTTGATTGTGCAAGGAGATTCTCAACTGGTGAAAATCAAAAGTAATGGGGCTAAAACGAGTCATCCAGTCTACTCCCAATATGATATCCCAGTCACTGAGGTCTATTACTTTCAAGTCATAGCAGAATTTATGCTGATTGATCTCCCATACCACTTTAGGACATATGGCTTTACTGGTTACACAAACTCCATTTCCTACTATTATAGAAAAAGGATCAACTAGTTGATATGGAACATCAAAGGCAATTACCTTTTCACTGCTGATATAGCTATCTGAGCTCCCAGTGTCAACCAATATTAACATTTCTTCCCCATCCAGTTTCCCTATTAGTGTTATTGTTTTTCTCTGCAGAGCCTCTGACAAGGTATGTAGAGGCATTTCCATGACTTGTCTAGGATTGCCTGTAGCTCCATCTTGTTCCCCTAATGCATCCTCAAACTCAAAATCTTCTTCCTCCTCAGTGATCAAAAGATTCAAGTGGCCTGACTTGCACTGGTGAGCCTGTCCAAATTTTTCTCCACATTTGAAACAAAGTCCATTGCTTCTCCTATACTGTAATTCTTGAGCTGATAGTCTTTTAGGTTCTGCATCTGCGGTAGAAATTGGTTTCCCTTTAAATGAGGTATTCCTGAAGGTGCTAGTAGAAGGCACCTTATAGTGGGAACTATGGATCGGTTGTTGGGAAGAACTCCTAGAGATTCCAAACTTGTTTTCACGTACAATTTTCCAGCTTCTGACTTGAAGTTTCAGTGCATCTTCTTGCAGTGTATGTGAGGACTCGTAAATTTTCTTATTTTAAATTCCTATTGAGCTTATTTAAATATTTAATTGCCGTTTACTCCGAATATTTTATTTCAACCTCTTTAGACCTAATTACATGGAACTATGACCTACCAGTATTTTAAAAATGCCTTGATTCGAAAATTTATTTTTAAAAGCTCGTTTAGAGTGAATAATGGTTGCATGTTTGGAGACAATAATTAAATCGAGGATACAATAAGTTTGGAAAATTGGAGACTTGTACATTAGTCTTGAAATAGGCATTTTTATGTTTAAGTGTTCAATTATTAGTTAGTGATACTATCGTTATAAGAATTTCTTGGAATTTCCACTTTATCGCGCACAAATAGGAAATACGCGTTTTCACGTGCGCGATTAATTGAGGAACTTTAGACCTTTATTTCTAAACTATTAAGAGTGAATAATAATAGTATGAATGGAAGTGCATTAGAGGTTTTGGGCACAAGTGAAACAAACCCGAGAGAAATCGGGCATGAAACGCGCGCGAACGCGCACTATTCCTAATTGACTTTTGAGGCATTCTTAGCCACACGGTTTAGCTTCTTAAGGAAGCTTCATTTTTCACCAAACACTCTCTCTCTCTTGCTCTAAGCTGGCAGGCCAACTCTGTGATGCCCCAACTTTTAGGATCATCTTTTGTTTAATCTCAAAGAGGATATTACGGTTTCTTTAGTTTATTTTTATTTTAAAACATTATTTTGTTTTAAAGAAGAAACTAAAGTTATTTCTTTGGATTTGATTTAAAACCTTGTTTCCTTTAAAAGACTAGAAACCCTAAAAGTCTAATCAAAACCCTAGTTTCACTTGTGACTGACCGTTTTCTCAAATTTCTCATATTTTAACCGAAACCCTAAATTCAATTTATGGAATTGTAAAACCCCTCACGTTTTTCTTAAAAATGCCCTTTTATTTGGAAATTATTCATTTATTATGGCCCTACTACCCAATCACCCCACAATAAGTGTAAATGAATACAGAAATAAGGGTTTTCGTTATCCGTTTTCAAGTTAGAGCGAATTAGGGTTTTCACATTTTTCCGTAGTATGATTATTCGACACCGAGTGAGGATCAAATTTGGTAGCTAAGAGTGACTTTTGGATGAGGAAATATTATATGATTAGAAGTGATAATAATAAGTTAGTGATTAGAAGGTAAAAACCCTAGTATACGCGGTTTAAGAAAAACCAGCTCAAACCGACGGGTATCGATCACTACCGATTGAACACACCATTTGACCACCACTTCACTACCACCACATACCCTTGATATTTGTGCAAAATATCCCCCCCTCATCCTCAACCATATGACCGAAATATATGGCCCAAGAATGCAAGGAAAAGAAAGCAAAAACTTGAAGGCTTTGGTGGTGACAAGTGTCAACCACCTATGGTTTCTTGACCAAGCCAAGTCTCACCTTCTTACCTTCCATTTGAGTTCATTTTCCCTCATTTCTTTCTGTTTTGGCTGAGAGCTAGGAGGAGCAAGAGAGTGAAGAGAGTTCAATCTTCTACCTTGAATCCAACCTTTTGAGTGCAACCAAGAAAAACTAAACCGATTAATCACTAGTTAGAAGCTTGGGAAGCTTGAGGAACCAAAGATTTCAAGGAGAGGTGAAGGATCATCCTAGCAAACTCTTGTTTTGAGGTATAAAGTGTGAGGACTCACAAATTTCTTATATATTTTTTTCTTTTTCTCAAAAATGCCTTTTATTTGGAAATTATTAATTATTAAATCCCTACTACCCAATTATTCCACAATAAGTGTAAATAAACCTAGAAAGTATGGTTTCACTTTTGGTTTCAAGATTGGAGCAAAATTAGGGTTTTCGCGATTTTTCGCCGGATGATTTTTCGGTACGGAGCAAGGATCAAATTGGGTGATTAAAAGTGACTTATAGGTGAGAAATGATATGTGACTAGGAGCAATGATAAAAGGTTAGTGAATAGGAAGTAAAAACCCTAGTACGTGTGTTTTAAAGAAAAACGGTGCGAACCGACGGGTACCGCGCACTACCGATTGAACGCACCACTTGACCACCACTTTCTTACCACATGAGCTCATTAATATTTGAGCAAAATATCTTCTCATTTGCCAGCTAGCTTGACCGAAACTTAGGGTTAGAAATAGCAAGGAAAAGAAAGAGAAAAATGAGAGGAGGTGGTGGCGCCAAGTGTCCTAGTCGAGGCCGTGGAGTAGACAAGCACAGGAACCAGTGCTAGAACCGAGAGAGGAGAGAGATGCAACAATTGAGCCACAACCTGAACCCCAGGCTACAGGGGGAGATCAAGTGGCAACTGCCATCCAGCAAATGACCAATATTTTGGCCCGGTTAGTGGAACAACAGGGTCAAATCCCTGTAAATCAACCTAGGGACCCTGATAATGGGCAAGATAGGGCCTTAGAGAGATTTCAGAAGTTCTCTCCACCCAAATTCTTAGGAGGACCAGACCCGGACGGAGCCGAGAAATGGCTGGAGGCCATGATTAATATTTTTGCCGCCTTAAACTATACAGAGGAAAGACAAGTACAATTTGCTGTTTTCCAGTTCGAGAGGCCAGTTAGAATTTGGTGGAACGTAATGAGGGCCAAGTGGGAGAGAGAGGCGACTGCATGGACCTGGTTAAATTTCGTACGGGAGTTTAACGAGAAATATCTTCCACCCATAGTCCAGGAGAAGCGAGAGGACGATTTCATTAAACTCCGTCAGGGGACGATGAGCGTAACCGAGTATGAGACTCAGTTTACAAAGTTGTCCAAATTTGCTCCTGAACTGATAGCTACGGAGCAAAGAAAAGTACGGAGGTTTGTGCAAGGGCTAAATGTGGAGTTACAAGAAGCCTTAGCGGCAGCTCAAATTAATACGTTTACGGAGGTACTAGAGAAGGCCCAAAGGATAGAGACTACTAGGGCACACGTGAGGAATTTTCACGCTAAACGGAAAGGGGCACCTAGTGGAGCCCAAGGGTCAGTGCGAGGTGATCGGAGCATGGCACCTGCTAAATCCAGTCGTGGGGCTGGAGGTGGACGATTTTCGAGCACATCTAGGGGAAGTGCTCCGAGAGGTGGTGCCCAGAGGGGAGGCCAAAGTGGTAGGGGTCAAGGTAGAGGTATTCCCCAGGGAGGCCAAACCTCCACTCCCCGAGTAACGTGTGGATATTGTGGGAAACCAAACCACACAGAGGATGAGTGCTGGAGAAAGGCTCGGAAGTGCCTAAGATGCGGAAGTATGGATCACCAAATAAGCAACTGCCCGTTGATTAGTGATACCCAGTTAACTGCTAGGTCAAACCCAAAGCCGACCAATGCTGGAGGGACCAGGTCGAGGGTACTGGCCAGAGTATATTCGCTGGATCAACAAACCGTGCCTGAACCAACGGAGGTGGTAGAAGGTACAATCCCTGTTTTTCACCGGTTAGCCAAAATTTTGATAGACCCCGGTGCTACTCACTCTTTTGTTAATCCTGCATTTATGCTTGGAGTTGATTTGAAAGTTGAAAGGTTACTTTATGACTTAGAAGTAAGAACACCTACGGGTAACCAACTTTTGCTTGCAAATGAGGTGTATAGGGATTGTGATATTTGGATTGGTGAACGAAAATTGGTAGTTGACCTCATTAGTCTAGCCATTAAGGGGTACAATGTTATTTTAGGTATGGATTGGCTAGTTCATTATCATGCTCGGGTAAACTGTAGGATGAAAGTGGTTGAATTTTGTATACCGGGGGAGGCAACTCTAAAGTTAGACATGAGGGGTATGATAGCCTCTTCTGCGCTTATTTCGGGAATAAGGGCTAGGAAATTGCTTAGTCGTGGGGCACACGGTTATTTAGCTTTTCTGATTAACACTCCGGGAGAAAAGGTTAAGTTGGAAGACATGCCAGTAATCAGTGAATACCCGGACGTATTTCCGGAGGAGTTGGAGTCTCTGCCACCCGAAAGGGAGATTGAATTTAAGGTTGACCTAGTACCCGGAACTACTCCTATTTCGAAAATCCCTTATCGTATGGCACCTGCTGAGCTTAAGGAGTTAAAGGTGCAATTGCAAGACTTGCTAGAACGGGGGTTCATACATGAGAGCGAGTCGCCGTGGGGAGCTCCAGTGTTATTTGTTAAAAAGAAGGACGGAAGTTTAAGGTTATGCATTGACTATCGAGGGCTAAACGCAGTAACTGTTAAGAATAAATATCCTTTGCCCCACATCGATGAGTTATTTGATCAGTTACAAGGGGCTGTGGTGTTCTCTAAGTTGGACCTGCGACAAGGGTACTATCAATTGAGAATTAGAAATGAGGATGTGCCAAAAACGGCGTTTAACACTCGATATGGGCATTTTGAGTTCGTAGTAATGCCTTTTGGCTTAACCAACGCCCCAGCAGCATTCATGGATTTAATGCATCGAGTGTTCAAACCTTACTTGGATAGGTTTGTTGTGAGGCCCCAGTTCGTACTACGTTGATATATTCATTAATTTGGCGGTAACGTTTGGTTTTGGGAGTATTTCAAAAACCCTAAGTAGGAATTAAGATTTAAACCCTAAGTTCCGGTTAAAATTGAAAACCCATTTTTTTCTACATTTTCTTTATTAGAAAATTCCCTAGATAATTTTTATGAGTAAATATAGTTTTTAGATGATTTTTCTAGTATTAGTTAGTTTTTGAGAAATTAAGAACGTATATCGGACGTGGGACCCACTAGTGCGAAAAGTTCGGAAAAATTCGGCCAATTAGGTTAAATTCCGGATACTGTGTAAAATTTATCGAGTGTTAAGAGATAAGTAGAGAGTGAGAAGTGATTGATGTGAGAGGGAAAAAGAAAGATAAGAATGCATTAATGAGTGTGACAAGTGTCATAATATAATTGGTTGGACTTTATGGTTTACTATTCACATTTTTGACTTTTGACCAAAATTAGTTAATATCTCCAAAAATTCACAAAAAAATCACCATTTTTCACCTCTTGATGGCCGAACCTCTCAAGCTCAAGAAGAAAGAAATTTTTCAACTTTCAAGCTTCCATTTCACTCAATCTTCCAAAACCAACCACATAACTTAGATTCTACTCCATAAAATCTATCCTTTGGGTGCTTGTGAGTGGTCTATTGAAGTTTGTTTGAAGATTTAAGGTGTCCAACATCTTCCTCTCTCTTGGTTACTTGGTAAGTGGTATATGAACACCCTCCTATATCTAATGATGTTGAATTTATGCCTAATGGTGGCTATTGTGTTAGAAATTGTGGTTTTATTTCATGGTTTGGAATGAATTGGTTGAGTTTTTATTTTTTTTTTTGGAATTTTCTGGTTTCATATGATCTTGATGGTGTGGTTGTTTTTGATGGTTGGTAATAAGGGGCTTTGGCTCTAGTAGGTGCATTTGATAGGAAATTGCAATCAATTTTGAATTTGGAAGAATTTCTGGAAAATTAGGGTTCTTGGTTGAACATTCTGTCCGAAATTTTAGGTCATAGATAGAGGCCGAATTGGACTTTGCTCAAAACATGAAAGTTGTAGGTATTGATGAGTTTGAAGTGCCTACAAAATTTCAGGTCATTTGGTTTAGTGTAGAGTGAGTTATGACGGAATTACTGTAGCTGTTCTGCTTTGGTCAGAATACGAAAACTGCGCTGGTAATTGGCCATTTTGACTGGAATTGGTTTGGATTTGGATGTTGGTGTCTTCTGATGAAATGTAGCTGGACGTTTAAGCTAACTTATGCCTTTGGAATTTTGGCATTTGGACTTGTATGGACTGAGATATACCGATTACAGTTTTATGTGATTTGCAAACCTGTTTTGGTAATTCTGGTTTTGTATTTTGCATATTTGACCTAGTTGTGCTAGGAGTTGGACTGAGTGGCCTTCTACATTGTTGTACTCCTGTTTCTTAGCTTCGAAACGGTGGGTCTTACACCCCCATCCGATAACCGTAGTGAATTTGGTGCCATTACCGCATATTGAGGTCAAATACGGTTTGTGATTCTGGTACGTTTTTGGAAAGTTTATGGCTGGAACTTTGGCTTCACATTTGACTGAGTTACAAGCTGTTTGGGCTTCCGACCAAAATACCAAACTTATAGCCCTATATCAGAGCTTTCTAACGCCCTTGGAATTTCATGAATCGGATTTATAAAACCTGAGATATAGCCGAGCAAACAAGGCCTGCCCGTGAAAATGACCAGAAATCTGTTTTGGTCCTGATGACCAATTTCCGTTCCGAATTTGAATTGCCGACCTTCATGAAAGTTGTTCCATTTGGAATGAACTATCTAACTGCCAATTTTCAGCTCTTTTGACCATGTGTAGCATAGAAAACAGTTTGCACTCAAAACTGACCATTTGTGCATTTGCCAGATTTCGTAAGTGATTGTGTTTGGTTCATTTGGGACTAAAGCCTCCAGTTTCAGTTCTGGATGTCTTCATAACAGTTGTTGTTCATCCTTTAAGCTTCGATATGGCATCTCATATGCCTTAATCCGATATTCGTAGCTCAACTTATGAGTAAACTAGAAACGAGTGTCAAATCTGCCGTTTCCGCTAACGGCCGTCTCCGTTTCCGTTCGTCATATTTACGTGCGCGCGTGCCGTTTTTGCCGTTTTGCTTGTTTTAGGCACGATAGTAGCCGTTTACGATATTATGTGACACAATCTTCTATTTCAGACGGTGGTGAGCTGGGCGGAACTGGTGGGGCCCACTACTAGCTGTTCATTTCGATCCGACTTCGTACTTTTGCTATTTCAGTTTCTGTGTAAGTATTCAGGCCAGTTTGGTGTGTTTTCTTTGCTATGTGTTTGAGATATGTGAAAAGGGCACTTAGGCGAGGGTGTACTTTATCGCACTCGACCTAAACCCTAATTTGAATGTATAATTGTACTTGGCATATGTATATGAACCTTTTGGAACCAAAACCCTTGAGCTTGTGGCTCGGGGCGACTTTCGAATAAAGTTTGTGAAGTTTGCAAAGTTTGTGATTTTGAATAATTTTGTGAAGTTTGTGAGTTTGGGGCGAACTCTTGACCTGGTTGGACTATTCGAGCCGGTAAGGGCTTGGTCGAAGGCAGTCCAACTTAGTCTGAGGTCACCAAGTTTGTAGGTTCATGTTATGAACCAATTTTGTGAATCCGGTTCACCGAGAAAGTGACCAAGTTTGTGACCCGAGCTTGTGACTCAAGCTCAAGTTTGTGATTTCGTTCGCCCGGGCAACTTTGTGAGGTGACTGGCCAGTGAGGGTGATAAGGTGTCGGTGGGTGTACAAGTGAAGTTCTACGGACTATTATTTGCAGTCGACGGAGTGTCGGCAGGAGATCACGCATGGCATATGAGTTGGCTTTGGAGCCACCTGTATCCTTATTATGTGATGTTACTTTTCTGCTTTTGCTTTACTCTTATTGTGTAACTGTTATGTGAAATTTATGCTTTCGCCCCTGTTTACTTACTAAGCATATAGCTTACCCCATTCCTTTTGTTTTCCTTAGCAGGGGCCGACGCGGGGACTTTTGGCTCGTATACTAGTATAGTTAGATTGGCTTGTAATAGATGAATAGTTAGAATGTTTGTTTTTGTTTTGGTGGTTTGTACAAGGACCCTTCTTAGGGTCTATCTTCTGCTGGTTGTGATTGTAGTATATTAGAGTGGTTTGACTCGAGACTTTTGAAGATGTGAATATAACTTTTGGGATTGTATATATTGTATTTAGTGCTCTTTCGAACTTTAAGTTTTGAGTCCTGGCGCGAGCTAGGCAGGCGGCCCGCCGATACCCTTGGGTTCGCCCTTGGGAGAAGTGGGGTCGTCACAGTTGGTATCAGAGCCATATGCCGACGGTTGGGACTCTACGTCCTTTTACTGGAAAAGCCCCGAGCCTCTCGTTCGTGAAGAGTCACGAAGCGAAACTCTCCGTAGGGGATGCCCGCGTGCGGGTGGCAAGCTGATAGGTACCTTGTGATGTGACCCTGAGAACTGTCACAGTTGGTATCAGAGCTTAGGCTTTCGATCTCTGTAGTGTATCCTAGGCTTGAAGTTTAGGATGCCGGACTGTGGGATACTTGGCTATTAAGGTAAATATTGAATGCTAAGATTTTGATATTGACTTTTGTAATTTTCCATAAGGCAAAGTGGGGATTGAGTTGATTGCACTTGGAGATGGCCAGTCCCAGTGTGAATCGATTTGGTTCTTACTTAATATTGCAGTTAGCTATTTGGACCTATTCTTTAGGTTTGCACCCTAGGGCCGCCGGGGCGGTGCTGGTGGATTAGGTAGGTTCCGTAGGGGAGGCGTGTAGGACCGTTGATGGAATTTCCTTTTGACTATCTGATATGTTTAATTTGTTATATCTGCCATGTTTATTTTGTTATAACCAGTATGCCTGGTTTCTTTTGTTACCCAGTGATTGACTACATTTTTGGAGCCGTAGTGCTCACGTAAATAATGGATTTTGCACCGACCGGATGTCGGATAACTTGTATATTTTTAGTGTGACTTTGTAAAAATATGTATATTTGAGTATAATCTTTTGAGCTTATTTGTTTGAACCCGGCTTTTGAACTTATTCGTACTTGTGTGGTTGTAGACCGGCTACTACTCGAGTGGTTGAACTTTTGAGGCATTGCCTATTGTGTACTTGACTGCTTTTGAGGATTATTTGATCTGATTAGTGCAAGTTGGAATTTCGAGGACGAAATTCTTTTAAGGAGGGGAGATTGTGAGGCCCCAGTTCGTACTACGTTGATATATTCATTAATTTGGCGGTAACGTTTGGTTTTGGGAGTATTTCGAAAACCCTAAGTAGGAATTAAGATTTAAACCCTAAGTTCCGGTTAAAATTGAAAACCCGTTTTTTTCTACATTTTCTTTATTAGAAAATTCCCCAGATAATTTTTATGAGTAAATATAGTTTTTAGATGATTTTTCTAGTATTAGTTAGTTTTTGAGAAATTAAGAACGTATATCGGACGTGGGACCCACTAGTGCGAAAAGTTCGGAAAAATTCGGCCAATTAGGTTAAATTCCGGATACTGTGTAAAATTTATCGGGTGTTAAGAGATAAGTTGAGAGTGAGAAGTGAATGATGTGAGGGGGAAAAGAAAGATAAGAATGCATTAATGAGTGTGACAAGTGTCACAATATGATTGGTTGGACTTTATGGTTTACTATTCACATTTTTGACTTTTGACCAAAATTAGTTAATATCTCCAAAAATTCACAAAAAAAAACACCATTTTTCACCTCTTGATGGCCGAACCTCTCAAGCTCAAGAAGAAAGAAATTCTTCAACTTTCAAGCTTCCATTTCACTCAATCTTCCAAAACCAACCACATAACTTAGATTCTACTCCATAAAATCTATCCTTTGGGTGCTTGTGAGTGGTCTATTGAAGTTTGTTTGAAGACTTAAGGTGTCCAACATCTTCCTCTCTCTTGGTTATTTGGTAAGTGGTATATGAACACCCTCCTATATCTAATGATTCTTTGAAATTTATTGCCGTAATGGTGCGCTATTGTAAAATGTGGTTTTATTTCATTGCTTTGGAATTGAATGGGTTTGACGTCTTATTTTTTTGGATTTTCTGGCTTTCATATGATCTTGATGGTGTGGTTGTTTGATGTTGGTAATAAGGCGGTATTGGCTCTAGGTAGGCATTATAGCGAAATTGCAATTCAAATTTTGAAATGCCAAGAATTTCTGCGAAAATTAGGTTCGTTTGTTTGAACATTCTGTCCGAAATTTTAGGTCATAGCATAGAGGCCCGAATTGGACTTTGCTCAAAACATGAAAAGTTGTAGGTATTGATGATGTTTTGAAGACTGCTACAAAATTTCAGTATTGGTTTAGTGCTTAGAAATGAGTTATCACGGAATTACTGTAGCTGTTCTAGCTTTGTCAGAATACGAAAACTGCCGCTTAGGTAATTGGCCATTTTGACTGGAATTGCGTTTGATTTGGCATGTTGGCTGTCTTCTTGTATGAAATGTGCCGGACGTTTTTAGACCTAACTTATGCCTTTGGAATTTGGCATTTTGCGACTTTGTATGGACTGAGATCATACTGATTACAGTTTTATTGTGATTTCAACCTGTTTGGTAATTCTGGTTTCTGTATTTTGCCTATATTTGACCTAGTTGTGCTAGGGAGGTTGGACTGAGTGGCCTTCTACATTGCTTGCTACTCCTGTTTCTTAGCTTCGAAACGGTGGGTCTTACCACCCCATCCTCGATACCGTAGTGAATTTGGTGCCATTACCGCATATTGAGGTCAAATACGGTTTGTGATTCTGGTACGTTTTGGAAAGTTATGGCTGGAACTTGGCTTCACATTTGACTGAGTTACAAGCTGTTTGGTTCCGACCAAAATACCAAACTTATAGCCCCTATATCAGAGCTTTCTTAACGCCCTTGGAATTTCATGCATCGCAGATTATAAAACCTGAGATATACGCCGCAGCAAACAAGCGCCTGCCCGTGAAAATGACCAGAATCTGCTTTTGCTCCTGAATGAACCAATTTCCGTCCGCAATGAATTGCCGACCCTTATGAAAGTTGCTTCCATTTTGGAAAATGAACTAGTCTAACTGCCAATTTTCAAGCTCTTTTGACCATGTTCAGCCCATAGAAAACAGTTTGCACTCAAACTGACCAATTTCGTGCATTTGCCCAGATTTCGTAAGTGATCTGCTGTTTGGCTTCATTTGGACTAAAGCCTCCATTTTTCAGTTTCTGGATGTCTATCATAACAGTTTGTTGTCATCCTTTAAAGCTTCGATATCGGCATCTCATACGCCTTAATCCGATACTTCGAGCCTCAACTATGAGTAAACTTAGAAACGAGTGTCCAAAATCTGCCGTGTCCTGTAACGCGCCGTACTCCGTTTTCCCGTTCGTCATATTTACGTCCGCGCGCGTAGCCGTTTTTGCCGTTTTGCTTGTTTTAGGCACGAAGTGACTTTTAAGTGAGAAATAATATGTGACTAGTAGCAATGAGATAAGGTTAGTGAATGGGAAGTAAAAACCCTAGTACGTGAGTTTTTAAGAAAAACGGCGCGAACCGGCGGGTCCCGCGCACTACCGTTTGAACGCACCACTGGACCACCACTTTCTTGCACCACAAGCTTATTGATAATTGAGCCAAAATATCTTCTTATTATACAGCTAAGGGACCGAAATTTGTGGCTTATAAGCAAGGGGAAGAAAGAGAAAAATTAGTGGCTAAGAATTGTCCAAGTGTTAGCCAAATTGTGTTAATTAACTCTAACCTTCTTACTCCTTATAAGACAAAAATCAGCTTCATTTCTCTTCATTTTCTGCTGCTAAGAGCCGAGAGAGAGAGAGAGTAAGAACAAGAGAGGAAAAACAAAACTCTTCTCCATTTCTTCTTCAATCCACCAACAAAGTGAGAAATCAAACAAAAGAAACCGATTAATCTTGTCTTTGAGTGGTTAGTTAGTGTTTGGTGGTGAAAGTTTGGAAAAGGAAAGCTTGGGGCTGCTTTTAGAGACTTCTAACCAAGGTAAGAGAACTCATCTCTCTAAGTTTTGCTTTTGATTTTGTTAAATTAAGTTAGTAGTGTGACGACCACCCCCCCTAAGGCGTACCAAAGGGTTCGGCGGACCGCCTGCCCAGCTCTCGCCAGGACTCACTCACTATCTTAATCGAGTCACGTACACACATCCATGAACCATAAATAACATTCCCAATTCAAGCTTATAATTTACATTAATAGAAATCGAGGTACAAAGTCTCAACACACCCAACTAGTTCAAAACCTATACAATCCAAGTACAACATGTTCCATTCGAGGAATAGCGCGAGTACAAGACCAAAAAGTCAAAAGTCAAAAAAAAGGCTACGCTAGTCTTTTACAAGTCTCACGCGTCACTCGTACCCCTGAAAGGAAAACAAATGGAGTGGAATGAGCTAAAAGCCAGTGAGGTTCCAAATAGCAAATTGACCATTATTTAGAAGTACAAGTTTTCGGTATAGCAAAGTAACATGCATGAAGAGTTCATAAAGGTGAGCAATAACACGTCAAGTAGCAATCTTAAAATGAACGAATGTAAAAAAATTTTTCAAAAGAAACAATAGTCCAATAAACAATAATTACTCCAAAGTATAAGGATACGGATGACTCTCAGGAGCCAAATTCCCATTACATTACCAGAAGCTTGATCCCGTAGTAGTTGACACTCCGTCAACTTTCAAGTAAGTAACCAATCCAGTAGAACACCACTTAAACGACTCTCCGTCCACCGTTCAACCCCCAGCTGGGCCCAAAATCCTCAAGAACATGGGTGGTAATACTCGAGTATACCGATTAGTCGAGGAGATATCACTCCACTCGACAATACAAGAGACCCAGGGTTTGTTACCCAATCGACCAAGCCCTTGCCGGCTCGACTAGAGTAACTCGCCACAGGGTTTCTGGAATTCCAGGAAGTGCGCGCATCATAATCAAGTATATCAAGTCAATTGCAACAATAAACAAGTATATCACGTAAGGGCAAGTGCGATAAAGTACACTCTTGCCCTATCAATTCACGTATATAACATGTACTCATATTGGTCACGTATCAAGTTCAAGTATCTAGTGCAATTCGGTATTTGAAAGCACTCACCAAAAGATATAGTGCCTTTACGGGTCACTTTCAGGTTATACTCCGGGTTCGGAGTCCAAATCTGCGATAAAACTCAGTTTGAGAACTTTGAAACATGACTAAGATTCGAAACTTAGACGTTTCGTTCAATAAAATCAAGAAATTGAAATTCACTCGGATGGTAGTCGTGAAACACTTGCTCGCTTTTTAAATGGTAAAACTTTGTAACATTTATACTTGAAAATGCCATGCAAGTCGAAAGTATAAGGAAAACATACTCCGAGCAATCATTATTTCCTTTCTCAAGGGTACAAGTTCGGCCAAGTCCTTCCTTATATACCTCGGAACAAGAATACTCAAGTACCCTAGATGGTTCAAGCAGTAATCACTCTTAACCCTTACTCAAGTTGCAAGTAGTTCTCTAGTTTTCGAGCGTAAATTTGGGCAGCATGCCCTTTGTGTTTACCTAATTTTCCAGCCTTTTAGGCTTCATTGTTTTTCTCAAACACAACCCAACATCACATATGTCAACAATTCATGTCCAGAGCCGTTCCATAGGCTCACAATATCATAATAACAAGAATCACAACAATGACAAGTGCAGAAATTCAACTTAGCACAAGACAGATTTGACGTACGAATGCGGAAATAACATATCCGAGGCTACGC